AGAATGAAGACGAGGTCGTTGCTCACGTTGGTCTACAGACAAAACTTAATGCACGTGTTTCACCTGCGCAACCTTTGCCTGCTTCATGTCAACAAATGTTTTTCTACTGGATCGAAATAATCTGACATGGGAGAGGGGGCGAGGTTAGGGGGGCATCTCCTCCTATCAGCTGTGTGGTTGTGTGATTCATACAGCTGAGGCTGAAAGTATTAGCCCCCCAGGAATTATGGAGGATTTTGCTAAACTTCTTCCCAATTTTTGCAGCATTGATGAAACTTGATATAATCAAAGATTCACCAAACCTGTTTAGTAGCTTTTGGGACATTTTGTAATATAAAATACATTTTTAGTCTTTATATCAAATATAGTCAAAAGTAGGGTTGCTATTGACTATTAGGTTGACTATTAATGGCCATGGGGCTAATCACTCATTTCTTTCTTGTTTTGTATCAATAAAATATCCTGATTAAACTTAAACATTGTTATTTTGGAAACAGATACACTATAAAAAACAAAGAGTTGTTGTTAATGGTCATTTTCTTTCCTTCAGTTCAGTGAAAGCGTGAATGATAACGTCTGCATGCAAATATATGACAACAAAAACTATAGATTCAACTGTTACAGGATTCTGAGGTTTTTCTTCAATCTGGTCATCGTGACATTTGTCTCACGCTAAAGGTCAAATTCTCCACATGGTTCTATCTGAACACACTTACAGCTTCAGTGGAAGCACATATAGAGCTTTAATTTGAGTATATGGAGCCAACTTGGTCTACTAAAATCTCTGTCTCCTTCCTGTTTCTTTCATTTAAGGAATATTTCTAAACTGCGACATATGGTCTCTTCAGCTGAACTGGAAAAAATTGTCCATGCATTTGTGTCAACGCGTTTAGATTATTGTAATTCCCTGTTTACCAGCTTGGATAAATCATCTCTTTCTCGCCTCCAAGCTATACAAAATGCAGCAGCCAGACTACTAACTCGCTCTAGCGAGCAAGCTCACATCACTGACCTGTTCTTTACATTGGCTCCCAACAGATTTTAGAATTCGTTTTAAAATTATTGTTTTAACGTACAGAGCACTAAATGGCCCCAGATTATTTATCCAAGCTTCTCACAAAATACACTACTGCTCGCCGTCTCCGCTCACAGACTCAGAGTTTGTTGGTTGCTCCCAGAACACGTCTGAAGAC